GAAGGTTGCGGTGCCGTCAAAACTGAAGGTATTCCTGTGGAGACTTGCACAATGCTCTATACCCACGGCGGATGTACTTCGTCATCGTAATATGTCCACATCGTCGCTGTGTGCCATCTGTGGAGAGGAGGACTCATGGATGCACTCACTCATAACGTGCACAATGGCGCGGTGCGTGTGGGCGCTAGATGACCCGGAGTTGGTTGAGCATATCATCGCAACAGCAGAACCGAATGCAAAGGCTTGGCTTTTCAGTATGCAAGAATCGATGCCGCATTCCGAGTTCACGAAGCTAGCTGTGACACTATGGGCTATATGGGGTGCACGGCGTAAGCTGATCCACGAAGGGGAGCACCAGAGCCCCATGGAGACTCACTCATTTATCAAACGCTTTCTGGCAGATTTGAGTATTGTTTCTATGTCACATGAAATAACGAAGCCGAGAACAGCCCCAGAGCGGACGCCTGTGTGGATTCCACCACCGGCGGGTCATCACAAGGTTAATGTCGACGCTGCTATATGTAAACAACCTCCTGTCGGGGCCATAAGTGCGGTTTGCCGGGATCAATCAGAAACTTTTGCTGGGTCAGCATCGGTGGTATTCCATGGCATGACCGATCCACATATACTGGAAGCTTTGGCATGCCGCGAGGCTATTGCATTAGCCAGGGACCTTGCACTTACTCATTTGGAGGTAGCTTCTGATTGCCTTGCGGTGGTCAAGGACATACATACTGGCACTATGGGTACAATCGCTCCAATTGTGGAGGAGATCATCGACTCGAGTAGGGAGTTTCAGTCTTGTTCTTTCGTCCATGAGAAACGTCTCTCTAATAAGGAGGCTCATGGCTTAGCTCGACATGCTTTACATTTAGGGGAGGGTCGCCATGTATGGCTGTTACACCCTCATGATACTGCTATTATTCCTGTAATTCGTTCTATTGAGCAATAAAGTAAAGCATGTTCTTCTCAAAAAAAAGGTAACACCAACGTAGAATCCGGACACATTTCCGAATTTTTCGAACATTTGTTGGAAATTCTGAATAAAATTTAAAAAATCAAATAATGTTTGAAAATCCAACAATTTTGTGAACAACTTGAACACATTTTGAAAACATCATTTTTCTAAAAAAGGATAAACATTTTATGAAAAAATGAACAATATTTTCTAAAAGCATGAACAATTTGAAATTTTTAAAGAGATAGGTTAGTTCAAAATGTTGAACATTTTATGAACAACATTTTGAACAATTTCAAAGAGATATGAGGAGTGTGCAAACTTAAGAACTAACATTTTGAACATTTTTTTAATACAACTTGAACACTTTCCTTTTTGGCTTATGTGGCAAATGTAAGTTTGTGAATTTCCTGACCAGTTGTGTTTGCATTTTTAAACTGGGTTTTCTTCTGTTATATAATGGTTTTATTTAAAAATTGCATTTATTTTTTCCCTTTTTTCAAATTCGTGAACTTTTCAAAAATTTAAGAAATGTTTGGGTTACAAAAAAAAGTTCATGTTGATTGATAATGACGGAAATTATAAATAACAGAAGTATCGAAAATTGTTCACAAATTTCAAGAAAATGGTGAGGACATATAAAACATTCATGTTGATTGATAATGAAGAAAATTGCAAATAATAAAAGCATTCTAATGAGAGAAAATTACATGCTCACGAATGGACCAGTCTGCCCTAGTGTGGCGCACTCCTCTCAACTGATGGTTTTTCCGGACTACGGATACTGACCCTTCTAGCCTACCTGGACAACCAACATGAAACATGGTCGAACTTTGTACATAAATGAAATGACCCCAACTTTTGCCAACAGGTGCGCATGTCCATGGCAGGTTTGAATGATTTCTGACACCGTATGCAAGTTGCATCACGTCCGGCCATTAATCAGCCATTATTCACCAAGAAAACTCCAGAAAATCAAGAATTGTCAAAAACTCAAACAATGTGGCATAGTGCCTTGAATGGTCATATAAGCTCGTGGAAAAAAATGGATACATTTGACGATGCCGAAAAACATGCTCTCATACGGACCTTCTGGCCTACTCGGACACCCTATGTCGAACGTGGTCTATTTTGAACATAAATGAGATGATCCCATTTTTTCCAAAATATGGGCATGCCCATGGTATGCATCCCTGCCAGGTTTGAAGGATTTCCGACACAGTATGCAAAGATGCGTCACGTCCGGCCATTTTTCACAGAGAAAATACCAGAAAACATAAAAAATGTCAAAAACCAAAACACTTTGCATGGTGCCTCAAATTGATCATACAAGGATATGAAAAAAAAAATTGGAGCCATTTCAAGGATGTCGAGAAATAATGTGCACTCAGACAACAGTCTGGCTTTCCGTACACCCTCCACTAAACATGGTCTAGTTTTGGACATTCTTAAAATGACCCCAAGTTTTGCCAGTTGGTGCGCATGAATATGATAGATATTCATGCCAGATTTGAACTACTTTCGACACCGTATGCAAGTTGTGTCACGTTCGGCTATTTATCTCCCTTTTTCACCGAGAAAATGCAAGAATTATCGAAAACTCAAACAACTTGGCATGGTACCTTGAAATGGTCATATAAGCTCAAGGAAAATTTGGGATCATTTGATGGATGCGAAAAAAACCCGCTCTCAAACGGACTCTTCTAGCATACGCAAACACCTCCGTCGAGCATGGTCTATTTTTGTGCATGCATAAAATGATCTCAACTTTTTCTAGCAGGCGGGCATGCCCATGATAGGCATCCATGTCAGGTTTGAACGATTTCCGACACAATATGCAAGTTGCCTCATGTCCAACAATTTATTGGCCATTTTTCGCCGAGAAAAACTCTAACAATTGTAGAAAATGTCGAAAACTCAAACAACTTGGCATGGTACCTTGAATTGCTTATATAAGTTCATGAAAAAATCATTTATGAAAAAACTATTTTGAACCATAATTTAAAACATTTGTTTAAAACTGTTATTTTGGTATTCCAAACAATATTTCAATTTTTTGACTAGATTCCAAAAAGAATATAAATTTAAAAATGGAGAAAAATGAATTAACGGAAAAAGAGAAGAATAAAAAATAGAAGGAAAAAAACATTTAGGACTCAAACCAACTAGGCGATGCTATCGCTCCCGTCAGGCGCCTGTTGGAAATTTCTAAATGAGATTGCAATTTTTACAAAATTGTGCACGTTTTCAAAAAATATACATGTTAATAAATTCTGTTCAAATTAAAAAAATTTCTCGTATTTGCATATTTGTTTGTTTGAAAAATGTTCAGGAATATAAAAAATTGTCGGGCTTTAAAAAGATCAGAAGTTAAAAAAATAGTCCTATTGTCAAAAATATTCACAAATTAAAATATTTGTATTTGGAAAAATGTTCCCGCATCCAAAAAAGTTCACACATCCAGAAAATGTTTGCTTTTTCCAAATTTTGGTCGAAGTTTTAAGAAATGTTTGTGTGCTTTATACAAATCTTGTTTTTGAAACCTTGTCGTGTTTTTATATATTTCTAAAATTTGTAATTTTTTTGTATCTTTATAAACAGTTCACGTTTTTTTAAAGAAACGTAGGGAATCCCGAAAATTCTCAAAAATTGTTTGGAGTTTTATAAATTATTTGCTTTCCAAGAAATATTCGACATTTCCAAGTTGTTCACATTTTTTTGAAGAAATGTTCCGTTTTTTATCAGGGTTTTTTTATATATAAACGTGTTATTTGTTCTTATAGAATGTGCGCTGTAGGAAATCAAAAGGTCTCGTACAAGAGGTCTCCGTACGGCATATACGTTGAAGCGATGACCCATCATACATACAAAAATGAATATGGTGTGTGAAAGGTTCATATTACCCTTTATACGTTTTGTGAGGGGGGTTGTACCGAAGCGGGTCTCGGATTTACAATAAAACTAGGTGATCTTGGGCAACCCTAAGCAAGCAAATCCTCTGCTCGCGTCAATTGTTATCCTTCTAGAGCTTTGGCCACAACGACCCAACCTTACGCAGTAGACCTCCCATTGCTGTATGTGATCCCCAACCCTCACATACTTGTTCTTCTTTGACAACTTCGAATTCTCAAAGCAATGTTTATTGTACTACTAAGTGCCCACCACCTAGAATTATAAGAGCCTTTCTTGAGAAATATTCATCCGGTGCCAGGGGGTTACTGGTCCAGCGAACGTGAAAGATGAGATAGGACACCTCTAGCAGACCCCTTCAAATTTAGCCCCTTATACCTTAACTCCATATAGTCGAGGTCATTGCCGCCAAAGCCGCGCAACAGACCTTCCTCTGGCTAGGGTTACTCCGCTAGCTGGCCATTGTCGCAACCGCGACCGCCAGGGCTAGCTCGGGCTCATCGGTGGCCCGTCCACGCCCGCCCACTCTGCCGGACTCACCCAATAACACTCAATATGTTTTATATCTCATTTGATGAAAATATGCCAAATATTGCAAAAAAAAAGGATATGGGCACGGCAGACCAAATGGGTCATCCCGTTGGGTGCTGCGGCCAGGGAAAGGCGGACATTGGCCTGGCTCATTGAAGTTTTATGAAGGGAGTAAGAAATCAGAAGGTGATTGATAAACCCACTTAAGAGACACACAACATATTAATGCCTAAAAAGGATTCTCAAAAAAAGATTAATGCCTAAAAAAATGTGATGCTACGTAGTATTGGGTATACTCATTCCATTGGTGTGGCCATTTCTTAACTACGTTGATTAGTTTGCCTGACATTTGGAAGTTCATATTCAGAATGGAAACACATTAGCAATTTATTACTGTAATTTTCACTCCCGCTATTATCAGTACTACAATACAATATTAAGAACTTATAACTCATCTTTTTTATATGTGCTATTTTCTAAATCAACCACATGTAAAAAGGTAATTGTTGTCACAAGTAAACTTTTGACATTCCTTTATTTATTTTAAAAATAAGTCAATGGTAATTTGTTCCAATATTGTCTATATATTTTTGTTATACAGGTGCCATAGGGGGTCTTTTCATCATAGCTATTTTGGTGTTCTTGTGGCTTCTTCACAAAGAGAAAAGAAGGATGAGAGACAATTTTGAAAAGAATGGGGGACCTATATTGGAAAAGATCAATAATATAAAGCTATTCAATAAGGAAGATATAAGGAAAATTCTGAAAAATAAGAAAATTCTTGGAAATGGTCGCTTTGGTACGGTTTCCAAGGGGCACACTGAGGATAAACAAGTGGTCGCTGTGAAAGAACCCATCAATCGCAAATCAACGAATGACCAGATTGTAAATGAGATCATCATTCAGTCTAGAGTCATTCACAAAAACATTGTCAAGCTCATAGGTTGTTGCCTACAATTTAAAGTCCCAACTTTGATCTATGAATTTGTGCCCAAGGGCAGCCTGGACGATATTCTTCATGGCAAGAACCATATGCCTCTAAAGTTGGGTCTACGTCTACAAATTGCTGCAGAATCAGCAGAAGGTCTAGCTTATATGCATTCAAAAACAACTACAACAATCCTCCATGGTGATTTTAAACCAGCTAATATACTTTTGAATGAAAAGTTTATGCCGAAGATCTCAGACTTTGGCATATCAAGGTTAATGGTCACTGATATGCAACACACTGGATATATCATTTTTGACAGGGCTTATGTTGATCCAGTATATAGGCAAACTGAACAATTGACCACCAAGAGTGATATCTATTTTGGAGTTGTGCTCTTGGAGCTCATTACAAGAAAGAAAGCCTCTCACTCTGACAACAATTTACCCGGGAACTTTCTTGATACCTACACAAAGGACAAGTCTGTGACCGAGCTCCTGGATAAGGAACTTCGAGAGGATGATCAAGAAATTCTTGGTCATTTAGTAGGGATGATTATGCAATGTATAAATCTTGACGTCAATCAGAGACCAGGATGACCGATGTCGCTGAGCGTCTTCATGATATGGTGAAGAGGTTAAATAATAAATAGGATGATCTACCAAATGATCATGTGGTTTCACGGCAAGTTGATGCGTGTTCCAGTTGAGAGACAAACATAGAGGAAATGAGCATGCATGTAGCACTTATATGCTTATTGTGGGCTATACTTGTATTGATACAAAATTTCCTGAAGTACAAGTACGATAGGTTACCCGAGAGATGATGTAACTAATTAGAATGGTTCTCTTCCATCAGTAGAAGAGGAGATATTTACCTGGGCCCGAATAAATGTTACTGTGTCTGTATGTGTTATGCTTGTAATGGTTAGTTTGTGATTGCTTATCTTGATGTGGTCTTAATTTTGTAAGATGTTGTGGAACCTGAAAAGGCATGGCTAGTTTAATACAAGCCCGTGCAGACAATGTAACAACGGAAACCGGACAAACTAAAGAAAGTCACCGTGTTGCAATTGTTTTAGACTACTATAGGGAAACACTTATATTCAGTAGTCTGATTGGAGACTTTTGTTTTAGACTACTGTAAGGAAACACTTATATTCAGTAGTCTGATTGGAGACTTTTGTCAGACGGGTCATTTTCCGTCGATGCTTTCCTAATCCCAAGGCTGATATACTTCTAAGCAAACTGCCCAATTTAATTGGATCCGAGAAAATCTCGCCTGCGCGGTTCCAACCACCTCGGAGCATGTACAACCGGACTTCCCAAATTGACCGGGCGGGCGCGGGGACCACTTACTGGACAGGAGAGGGAAGCAAAAAGTAGCAAAATGTAAATCTCGCTTGCCTGACCAATCTAGCCCACGCATCTCGCATCCACGGGGCGAGCGCAGCCCCGAGCCCACCGATCTCCCTCGTCGCGACGGCTGCCTCCGCCACCACCCCGCTCTGTCCCAAACCTCTGGGACGTCTACAACTGCTCCTGGTAGCCGTTGCAGCGACCCGCCCCTGTATACTCCGCCGAGCCCCGCTCTCATCGTCAACGGTGTCGCCCCCATCGCCGGCCCGGTTCTCGGCTAGACCCTGCCCCGTCACCATTCATCCCACCGTGATGGTGCCCCGTTTGGCTCGGTAAAGAAGATGCACGCATATCCCAGCCATCGCCCCCTGTTATATACTCACCCGAACTCGGGTTTGATTCATTTTTCAACACTTGATTTGATTTGTGTTACTCTAGATGCAAGGCATGGTTTGATGAATTTCGTTGAGCGTAATTATGTTATATCCGATGTGTAATGAATCACTATTTCATTTAGGATTTTTTTTAATTTCTAATGCAGATCAAATTAACATGTTTCCCAATCTTGACTGTAATATTAGTTTTCGACTTGATTTCAAATTTCCATGCTTCCACCCAATTGTAGATATATCCTAACTACAATGTCCATGCCTCCTAGTTCCATAGCATCTAAATTGTTATAAAGATGCTTCTGGGCTCTACCTATTTTGCTTCCAAATGCCAAAAAGAAATCAATCAATATGTTCGTGAGTCAAAACATCCGGTTGCCAAACATTTATAGGTGTGGTTTAATATTCATTTTCCTATGCTTCAATTTGAACCCATGTGTGTATATCATATCATCTTCCATGTATCTTGTATATAGCATGTTTTCATCCAACCTGTAATGAAAACTTCAAATATGACACTACATTTGCTTAAGAAGCAAACTTTTGTCTGTTTGAACTTTTGAACTTCAAATATACGGATGGAAGCGTGTTCCTTTTTCTTTAGAAACAAACTTTTGTTTGTTTGAAAACAATCAGGTGCTACCCTGGAAAACCATTTTATGTTTGAGTGCAATTAAATTTAATTGTTTCCCATCGATGGAAATGTAACTTTCAGTGGAAGCAAATTTTTTGGTAGCTAGAAACAAGTTCTTGCTTCATTGGGGAAACAAGGTAAAAATTTATAATGGGCACATATTTCCTAATGAATTTCTGTTAGATTGAAATTACTTTGGCTATTTGTTGAAGCAAATTATTGATTTGATGGAAGCATATATGTGAGAAATAAATCATGTGAAGAATGTAAAATCTCAATACTCGAGGGTCTCATCAATGTAGCAAACTTTTTTTTACGTGAATCGAAATCAAACTCTTTTTAGATTGAATTGGAATCAAACTTCTCTTCTACAATTGGAATCAAACTTTGATTGCATGCAGTCTGATGGCTTCATGTTTTAGGATAGACATAACTACACACTACAACAGAGTGGTTAGCGAGGGTGCCGTGCATGCTAAGAAGAAGCAGTTATTAGGAAGCAATCAAACAACCATGCACGGCCTAGCAGTAGATCCAACGGCCATCCTACATCCCATCGTACAGCTTAGCACTGGTCTGATAGGAAGCACGGATCCCTAGCGCTTCCCAGCTAGACTAAACCAACCTTTACGAGTCGATGAGTCGTCCGAAGGTTGAGACTCATAGATTAATCGTGAGTTCATGACTAGTCTAGACTACTGCTAGACTAGTCAACATGGTACTGTAGTTCACAGCTTGCAGTAATCAATTACTAAAACCTGGTATTAATATGTACTCCCTCTGTAAACTAATATAAGAGCGTTTAGATCACTACTTTAATATTCTAAATGCTCTTATGTTAGTTTACGGAGGGAGTAGTATATACTATAGAAAGTGCATTGGAGCATCAATTTGTCCTGCAGATTAGGCCAATAAGCATATTTCCATGTTGGATCCTTGCTCCTAGTTGGCTTCTTGCAGGATCCTTCGATGGATCATATTGCTCATTGGCCTGAGCTGCAGCTGCTAATACAATACTTGAGATATTTCCGGCGTAGACATTGCATTTCAGATCTAAGGATCTAGAAACTGAAGCAAACAAAACGAAATAAGGAAGAGGGCCGGGGGGAGGGGGTAAGGGAAAATATCAAGTGATACGGGCCATCACATGATACCCTGCTACGGGACTCTGTGGTGCCTTGGATCTACATGCAAGGGACAAGATCAGCTCACTTATTATTTACACATGCCCCCTTGGTACATTTGCATGTGCCCCCCTTGAAAACAGCCCATCTTTGTGAAAGCACAACAGACCTATGCATTTGTCTCCAACATCAACATCGTCAGTTTCTACCAACAAGTACGAACACTATACCAGCTGATTATCTGATTCAAAACAAGACGTGTGAATTAATCAAACTTAAACCACATCATTTAGGCCTTGTTCTGTTACTTTACATGTGATCAATCAACACAAAAATGAATGTTCCCAGCTGAACAAATAAAGCGTAGTACTCCCTCCGTTCGGAATTACTAGTCACAAAAATGGATAAATATGGATGTATCTACAAGTAAAATACATCTAGATACATTCATTTTTTGGACGAGTAATTCCGAACGGAGGGAGTACATGCTAAAATTCAGTACATTTAAAGTAAGCTCTCATCAGTACAGCAAGCAACAACTTGAAACATTCTTATCTTGAGCCTTCAGGTCGCCATCAATTTTATTTCATAATGAATATATTGGCATGTGATCAGCATGAACCCATTTTTCATTCCTGTATGCACATATGAAATTTTCGATGATCAAAATATTTAGCAGAAATCTTGACAAAAAATCCATCTCAACAAACAATAGTACAAGCTAGCAAATTGTGAGGGATGGCAAATTGCCAAAAATCATTCATAGCATCAAAAGGTCGCTGGATCAGAAGCATGTCAACAAATAAAGGTGCATCATATGCTGCCATCTTGGTCTAGGAATTAACATGACCTTAATATACATATATTTACAAGCGTATTACTTAGTTCACTAACTTACATAATTAAACCAAACAGCTTCACTACAGATCACTTGGTGACTCCATATTCTCCTTGTACGCCATCCTATGCTGGGCAGAAATGCACACCTACATGATAACATCAAGAATTACAACAACCTAATAAACCCTCTCAAAAGATCGTATAACATTAAATATGTGAAACCGTAAACACTTCTGTGACGCCAAATAACCTGCATGTCTGTTGCACCATCTAATTCTCCTGATCAATTTTGTTGTTTCTTGACCTATAACAGCATTGTAAAAAAATCGCTTGTTACACTAAGAGATCATGACATGCTCACAAGTCATAACCAGTAGAGTTATATTCACCTCTTTTTCTTCTTTCCACTTTTGCTATGTAGTTAATCAAGAAAGTAGCAGTCGACAATCGCACATGTACTGAGTTCAGTGTGCCGAGTACGAAAGGTCTGTTACTCTCCCTCCATGTTATTGTTCTCTTGTTAGAAAACTAAACAATGCTTACATCTTATTTTACCCATAATATTTGTAGATAGTCAAAGAAGACACTATTTTGATTAGCAGGCCAGTTTATTTGGCCAGCAAGTCAGCCTATTACACTGTGATAAAGTAATTTTGATCCATCAAACTTTCCTAATTCCAGCTGCTGCAAAGTGAGAACAAGTACATAGATTTCCAATACTGGGAGGTCCCAGCCTGACCTAGAGTTCTACTGGGATTTTCTGTTAGTCAAGCATTATTGAGCCTCATTTGGCATGAATTTTAGTCAATTACTCTAAATGCTCACTTATGCTAGGCTGTACATGAGGTTTTCAACTACTGTATGTAAGAAACATTCTATGACACTTTATAAGAAAGATTACATGTATATACAATTCAGATGGACATATTAGGACAAGAAGTGGTGATCAATATTATAACACTGCTAGATCTCAGGATTAGATGCCAGAACCAATGACTGAACAAGAACATCACGATGTTGCAGTAATCATTCTTCTAAATCTTCAAGATTAAAATATTGATGCATATCTCCACTACGAATTAACTTTAACATCTAGCATACAATAGGGGCAGATCTAGGGAGAGCAGAAGCAATGGAGGGAAGGGGGCAGGGTGGTGGCTCACTTATCCCTTCCCAATCCCTATTTTTTTTTAAAAAAAACTTGAGTTGAACGACTCAAGGTGCACAACTAGTCCTTCGACCCCTCAACTCAGC